TTCCCAAAATAGCTTACATCCCAAGAGGCCAATAAAACTGCAATTATTCATTCCTGTCCCACTTAGCTTGCGGAACACTTATAAACCCATTAAATTCGGGGGTTATGTAAGGGCTTTTATTCCACGTGGGTAAAATTTGTTCTGAAAGCGACAAACCATGAGCCTGCATGAGGCAATATTAAAATGTTGCTTTTTCTGGTCGAAATTTCTGTTTCGTTTTCTTTGTTTATTTGTTTGTTTCTAGTTCTTTCGAGGCAATATTTTTATTTATTTATGTATCTTTTTTTTTTTGCAATCATTACCTTTCAATTTCTGTTTTCTCAGTTAAATTTTCCTAATCAGCAGCCTATCGGTAATAGGCTCCTTCCGAATGCCTTTTTCAAATTTATGCTTCAGTCACTCATTGTAACCACGAAGTGACCACGTTTTCGAATTCGGCAGGAGCGCATGAACGTTTTGAATCCGTGGGAACTGGGGGAAGAAAAAATTATTGTACTTTTTCCTTAGTAACTGGACCTACAAATGATCACGTCACGCCGCCCACGAGATTTTAAAAACCTATCTATCGACGTAAGCAAAGAAAAACATTGTAAGAAACATTGTTCGTATAAAAGCGAAAACTGGACGTTTTGATCAAGCTTTCCCATCACGAAACAAACCTGTTCGATTAATCAAGTTTTCCGTGTCAAAAAAGTCCGAAAGAGACCAGTTTGGGAGAAACTCAAGCTTCATTCGACGGTGTCAGTGGGTATACCTCCATTCCGAAAACAGTTTTAAAAAACTCTCTTAGTCAGTAGTTAGCAGGAAGGGACTTACGTCAGTTTAGTTATAATTATATGTCACGCTTCTGTACCACCTGGGATATCGACGATCGTTAAGGAAGTCCGAGTCTTAACCAACTGGTATAGCGCGCGCTAACAATTTGTCACAACATCATGTCAGAAGTGATCGGCTCCTGATCATGTATCATTCACTTAGTAAATCAATTACTTATATTTAAAAAACACTACCATTGTTCCCAGGCAGGGGTCGATTACTAAGCTCCTATTCCAAGTCAAAATTTGACTTCTTTAACAATATATCAAAGTATCCTTCAAGTTGTTAATTTTTACGGTCACGATAGAAGAAAATCGTTGTGAATAATAACACTAATGAAGTAACCTGAGATCAGGCTCTATTTTTGTTTAGCTTTGTAAATAACATTCCGGCGGGCATGCGAAACGCCGTTAGAGAGAATGTATGAGAACCGCTCAAATTGGGCCTGATCTCAGGTTGCTAATGAAGAGCCGAGAACGTTCCTGATTCTTAGACAAATAACCAAATAAGATAGTAATTTTATTTTGACCGGAGACCCAAAGCTCATGATTTTAAGAAAGAAATGCCATCGATATATTTCTTTCAGCTTTCTTTCTTTCTTCTTAGATAATATTTTTTTTTCTTTCGCTCCATCCTGGAATACTAGGAGCAAAGAAGACCAAGAGCGCGTATCCCCTGCTGTTTCATATGGGAACGTACGTCTCCTCCGCGTTTGACACTCTTGAAACAGGATATGAAATTTAACCTGACTTATTGCAGTTCACGGAGCTTATTGCTGGTTTATTGAGGAAAGCATCAAGTTTGCGCAGAGAGCAGCCGTTTTCCGATCTTGTCGACAGATAAGATGGGGTTTAATCGGCCATGAAAGCAGGGTTTTTAAAATTACCCCAGTTAATGTCGCCGACTTCGTCGCGGGGTTATATCATATTTTGTACGTATTCCTGATCATTAAATGGGCAAAAACTGAATCATCGTCATTAAATGATCGAGGTGTGGTTTACGTGGTTAACCGCAAGCTTACGTTTGATACAAACAAGACAAAACAAAACGCCCGCCGATTGTTTTTTGTTAGCCTGCGTAGCATGGCGGTTTTGGTTGGACGCGCTAAATAATAATAAAGGCAGGGGAGGGCAGAGAAACTGCGAGAACCGCCATGCTACGCTAGTTTTTTATCGCCAGCAACGCAGCGCTAGCTGATTTTAAATACAGGAAGAATAACGCAATGACTATAGCAGTTGCCGCTAATCAGTACATTCTACAGAAAACTGCAAAAGAAAAACAAATTATTATAGTCAACAGTCTTAATAATAACATAAATTAGGATGAAGTATGTAAAACTAAGATGCAGGCGCTCAAGGTAGATATAGACTCGTTGCGGTTAATCTTTTTCAGTTTCCGTCGCGGTTTAAGAGGCTTCATGCTTGTAGAACGCTCACTGGACCATGTATTGGTAAAATTCAGCAAGACCGATTCCAATAACACGAATGAAATAAATCCTCAAGTTTTAGCACAGATTTAATTGTACAGAAACTGACGATGCAAGCGTTTATGCTTTGTCAATAATTTTCCCAGTACATGTACCGAATTGGTACTTCGCAAGTCTGGTATATAGCCCCGAGTTATATTTGTAAAAACGTACGATTTCTCGCCCACGCAGGATCGGAGAACGAACTGTAGCCATGGTCACCAATTTGGCGTAATTATATGGAGTCATTAAATCGCACCTGTAGGCAGCCCAAACTCCCCGTTATAAGAATTTAAACCCCTTTACTCTCTGCTTAATTTATCTCGCTTCTTTTCTAAAAGTAAAGACATTTATAACCTTCTCTTACCGCTTTGAAGACCAAATTCAAGTTAAAAACGATTTGATTTTTGACTTTGCAAGAGAACACTCCATGGTAACCCCGCATTGAAATTGTTGTAAACCACAGGGTACAATTTGGCCAATATAAAAATACAGGAATGAATTAAGAGTAACTCAAACGGTAAAGGATGGGTGAGAAACGACGTGATTTAAATTGATTCTCAGTATAGAAAACAAACTTGAAAGATGTAGGATGCTTTTTTGATGCTTTCATTCATAATCATGACGTAGCTCCTTGAAGTAGTTTTTAACTTGCGGCTGCAGTGTTTAAGTTTTACGGTGTCCTACAACATGAAATAAGGTGCTCTTCATGAAATCTCTGTTGAAAATTTCCTGCAAGCGCTCGTCGGAAGAAAAAAACTGCATGCAGCACAAATGTAATAGAAAGCTTATGGGAAAAACAGGGAAAAAAATATCCTGCCCATCAGATTCCTAGAAAAAAAGTTCTTGATGACCAGAAATCACCCACCCCCCGCCTCAAGAGTTAAATGGTCGGCCCCTAAGATAACGTCATAGTTGCCACATTGGTGGTACAAAACAATGAAATGAAGGCCATGTTCGTGTACCGAGCTAGTCATGTAGGAGTTGAACACTTTGCCTACGTAAACGCTTTCTTTTGTTCTAATTAATTAGCATAGATACTAGCCACGTGGGTGAAAATGCTTTATACCAGCTTATACAATGTCAAATGCTCATTTGTGTATCAGAATCGTCTTATGAATCAGTTTCAAAATGTCGTCGTATCTTTATAATTGAAAATATGACTAACAAGGAAAGCACGGAATCTTTGTTTACAAACTTTGATGAGGCTACAATTGAAGGTGCTCTGTCACGAAACTTTATAGTTAAATTCAAAACAGTAAGAATGTCACAAAGTAAACACACTAAAAACCAACCAAAAGGTTAAAAGAAGGCATAAATAACAAAGCAATTACAAAAAGGCGGAGGCACGGATGGTAATTGTGATTTTGAAAACTTGTTAACCTAACAGTTTTTCAAAGTTCATTTTTGTTGTTTGTAACATCTGATGTTATGCTTCGGAGACATTTGTTTGACACGAAGCCGTGATTTTGCCATTCACAAGTAATTTCTAGACAAGTTCAACAGCGAATAAGGACTCATAATTGGCGTTTAACAATAAACATCAAAGGGCTCTATGAGCCAACTCGTGAATCAATTGAAGGTTTTGTGTTAACCTGTTTAAAAAGAAACATTTTACAAGATGGTTGCGTTAGGGGAGGAGGGGGGAGGGGGAAGAGGCGGTCTCCAGTCTGGTGACGTTTACTGTTGGGTAGCTGAGCTTGCACCGTCCTGCAACGGGCACAACATTAACTTCACGTACTCAACAGTAATACGAAGAAAACAGTAATTATTTAATGTTAAGTGAAAATTTCAATGATGTCTACGCAATTATGCAGTAATTTCAAGGATATCATCCACAATTGAAGGCAATACAAGGCGGCTTAAATACAGGCCTTGCGAAACTACGATACGTACCAAGGAGACATCAGTGAAAACGTCCACTACCAAAAAATAAATCCACATTTCTAAAACTACTTCGAAATCAAATCGACTAGTTCAATTTGTATTCTAATATTTTCCATTGGAAATGAACTGCTGCAAGTCAAGTGCGTGACGGTTAAGTTCAAAACTACCCGTGACTAGTCTACGCGAAGAGTGGGTGATCGCTTATTTACCGAAAAATATCTCAAGCACGTACATACTTCACATTTTCCACAAAAGTTCTCAACAACCTCAACAATCTATCAATTAAATACATACAACCAAGTTAATCTGTAATAAAACAGCAATTTCTGCTTATCAACTCTCCCCATCAACAAATCACTGCGACTTTTTGGAAATAAAACCTTTATTTATTCACACGATTAAAAGTACTTTGCAACGTCATACTTGTTGTCCTAAGAATTTTACTTAAACGCCGGTCTGTGTCAAACCACACATTTTAGATTTGGCTTAAAACAACAATGGCGTGATAGCAGGGGTTTCAATAAAAATTGAAGTAGCCAGCAGGGTTGAATAGAGTAACCGACTGTATCAGAACGGTAGCCTGCGGGCAAGCTCTCCATTCGGGGAATATCGTGAAAAGCAAACGCGCGAGAACACACGCGAGCGCGTTCTCTCGTGGCTTGCTTCGCTCGCCCAATAGGGGAGCTTGCTCGCAGGTTATCAGCACGGGGCCAGTAATCTTCTTTTTCTAAGGTGTTCTGGGGACGTGCTTCCCAACAAAATTTCAAAATTTTAAAGCCCTAAACTGCGATTTCCAATGTGCTGGGGACTAAACTGAGGACAAAAGAGCGTGTTTTTCATTCAAGAAATATAGCTTTCATTCAACTTTCGAACTATCCGCCACACAATCAATTCCTGAACAAATAATAAAAACTAGATAATTTACGCACTTTCGCGCGTAAACAAATTCTGCGTAAACCTATACAAAAACTTGTGAAAACATGACTAAAATATAGCGTTCACATGACTAAAGCATAAACCAGTGGGCCTTTATGAAAACATTATAATTACGTTTTCATTCAGATTTTATGATTAATTTTTTGTTTAAGACGTTATTCCCACCAGTTGCTTTTTCTTTCTAGAAAAAAAGGTAGCCGACTTCTCTGAGCAAAGTAGCCGACGAGTTTCTTCGGGCGTCGGTGTTTATTGAAACCCCTGAATTTCTTTAACATTTTTCAATTGTAAGTTAAAGACGGTAATTTTGTCACATAAATCATGGCTACGGAAGTGTTCGTCTTAGGATATGTTCATACTATAGCGGACAGCTTTTCATGCTGTCACCAAAAGCTTTCCGCTATGGTGTGAATACCTTTTCTATATGTGACTCTCCACTTTAGAGATCGGCGGGACGCAGCTTCTCTCCGTCACAAAAATCGCGCCAAAATAACCGTTATGTCTGAACAGAAACAATATCACGGTATGGTTTTCATGCCCGCGCAAAATCTATCCGGTATAACGTGAACATAGCCTTGTATACATGATTGAAAAAAGGTTGTCGCTTAAAAAGTGTAAACCATGACCGATGAGGCTTCCAGGATTGATGGGCATAAGTTCATTAGCAAAGCAAATTCGAAGTTCTTTCAAAAAATTTTACACTGTTACGAGGTGCTCGTGCGGATGCAAATCCCTAGACTACTTTGTTTAAGGCATGCCGTTGTCTTTTTTTGTCTTCCAAGACAGCTTTTAGGTCCTATGTTATGATTTTCAAGCGAGCGTTACCAAGATGGCTACGCTGTTTAACTGTAGAGATCTCTGATGTGCCCTGCGCTACACTTTTGAGGTTGTGGGCTTATCACCAAGAAAACTGGGAATTGTCTGACCTTTCTTCGGAATGGATCGTCGCGAAAAGCTTCAGTAACGTAAACTTTTCTGGAAAGAACTTTAAATCTGCAATGCTAATAAAGTTCTACACATAAATCCATTAGGTCCTATGGTTCATATTGTTTATAATTTTTAAACGACGTTTTTTTAATCAGGTGTATACATATTAAAGTGACACTTCCATTGTTACGGTTTGTACATGTAAAATTTTGTTAAATCATGACTCCAGAGAGATGTAAACTGTGTATGCTAAGTATCAATTAAATACTGAAATAATTTTTAGTCTTACCTCTCAAAATGATTAAAAAAGGGGGCACGTTGCCAGTAACAAGCAATAAATTTGGAACTCAACCAAAAGTTGAGTTTCGAACTTTAACGCTTCGGTCAAAAGATCGAAAGGCCACGGCTTTGCACTTGTCACTGGCGGGTGTCAATTACTTTCGTCTGTTTTTGTTATCAGAGGTCCCATATTATCGCCATTAGAATGACAGAAAAAGGAAAAGAAATAAAACTAATAACCTCTGCTTTATTGGAGTGCGAACCTAAATACTGAACCTTGAACTCAGAGCTCAGTTTCAGTTTCATTGCTCGATCAGTGCCCCTTTTAAATGGAAATGGATCCCGATTTTAAGCGAACATAAATATACCTAAACATTTATGCCTTTTCAATCATAACGCTACGAATAAAATTATAACAACGATCATGATTACAATTAATGCCACAAGTACACAGGTTTGCCTCTTATCTGCAACGGAACAAACAGAAAGTACAGTTGAAATGTATAGCCTCCGTCTAAGTTACCATTTTTACCAAAATGACTTCTGCTTCTGATAGCCAAGCTAAGCAAATGTGCGGCCAGATTACATGGAGGTGGGGAACCCCAGGTTGGTGAGGTAATCCGCTTATCCAAGCAAAAGACGTGTTTTGGCGGTTGACGCTCTTCAACTCTCAGTTGCTGCTTTTGTTGTGACCTTTCAGTGCTGAGGCTTTCACTTTTAATAGTGCAAAGAAATTGATGTAATCCCGGCGAGGCGGGTTCCAGTACCCCACCTTGAAACGTTTTGATGGGAAAATTTGACCCCGGTTGTGAGGGTTACCCGGTCTGGCAGACAGGGCAACCCGTCAGGATAGGTCACCCCACCTATCATGTAAACATGATCAGATTAAAATAAACAGCCTAAGATCTTGGTTTACAGCTCATTTCACTGTCATTTCACCTCATGCTGTCAAGAAACTGCTTAACATGTTTTCTCATCTGGCCCCGGTTGGTCAAAAGATGGATAGTGCTATCCACCAGATAGCAATAACACAATAAAAACTGGTTTCCAAAAAATCGTGGTTGCATAAGAGTGGTCATGAGCAATAAAGGTTTTAATGAATTAAAGCAAAAAAAAGTGTCCTACCATCAGACAGTCTGAGAACTTTTTCCACTTTGAGAACTGTTTGTTGCAACTTAGAGTCTGTCATTTCTAATTCATGTCCAAAATCGTCTAAGATTCTAAAAAGATTCAGATCAACTATCATAAGACTTGAGTTGAAAATATATCAGTTTTAGCTTTTTCAGTGTCAATGTTTTCTTATTAGTAGATTTTTGCAGCTACCTCCCTTCAACAACAACGGCAATGCCACAGAAAATGGTTCTTGGAAAAACAACTTATTCACTTAATGTTTGGTTTGCCTTGTGTGACAGAAAAGTAGGGTTTGATTTCAAAGGAAAGGTTTTCATGGCCTCCTGTTTTCATACATTTACAGTGTCTGTAAATTCTCTATAAAACCTTTGAATTTTAAAATCATTTGAAGTTTTTACACAACAGAGCCGGGTTGTTCAAGCTGAGTTAACTGAATTCACGCATATAAAAGGTTGAAAAGTAAATTCACAATAATTCTTTTTGTGTACAATTTTATGATTGGATGCTCTAAAAGGATAGGAGAAAAGTATCCAAAAAAATGCTTTTGAGCAAAACTGAGAAGATTTGTTCTAATCGACCTTCGAACAACTGGGCCCTGAGAAACCGCAAACCATAATGCAATCTCCACAAGGCAAATTAAGACAACTACAGTTCCTAAGAGCACATAGTAAGTTACACAAATTAGGCTCCTTTAAATTATTGAATTGTTTTTTATTTTCATTTCCTTTTGTATGAAAGAAGTCACTTCACTCTTACTTACTCCATAGCAATACCCTCTAAAAATAAGCCAACAAACAAACAATTTGCTTTCTTTGCAAAGAACTTACAAATTTTGCTCTTCAATTTCATCACCAATTCTCTTTCCCATTGTCTTCAGCACACCAACACTATGCCCTACCATATCCAATTGGTCATCTTGTGCTTGTATCATTAACTTAAAACAAATCAAGAGAAAACAACATAATCTGTTAATAACAATAACATTCTATGTAACATGCAAAGCGACATGGCAAAACAGCAACATGATACTGATGAAACAGTATTTTGTTGCCTCTGTGTCCTGCATCCCTGCAGTGTTCTCCCTAAGTTTTAGCTCAGCCCCTGCAGGTGAGGGACCATTCATAGCCAGTAAGGCAAAAAATATGCACCACAGGTGCACTTTCCTGGTGACAGCGGGATAGTGGAGTGAGGAACATGGTCCCACCCTTGCTGGGAAATTTAGGAGCTAAGTTCTCTGAAACGTCATTCCCTCATTACAAGACCTACTTTCCACAAATCAGCTGAACGTATATTTATTCCTTGTGGCAAATGAGAATTGGATCGGATCACAACTTGTGTATTTTTTTAAAGTACTTCTTTAAACCTTCAGGCTGCTGCAGGTTGTAAGAAGTGTTGCTTCAAGTGGTAAATTTAATCAGTTACTACTTGATAAGGAGAACCTTGATCCCTGATGCATAAAAATCCCCAAAGACGCAAAATAATTTGTGGCATGTATCCCACAGGACGCAAAGATGGATTGATTGATCTGAAGATGGTTTTTGTAGAATAAACAATGTATCCTGTTTGTTTGATTTCTGTGGCTGTTACTGTGGCTGTTGTTAAACAAGCTTTGTTTCTTTTAGTCTTTGTTGTGCTTTACAATAGAAGGAGTATATTTTTATTTCAGTAAACTGCAATACAGAGTTTGGACTCGCCATAACTATTTGTACCAACTCAGGCCTTTTTGTAGCCTCTCTCTGTCTCAGATTACAGTAATAAATTTGGTGCAAAAGAAAAAAAGTGGTTTGAAAAGGAAAAGCCTAAAATAGTCCTGAAGCAGTTCCATTGGAGAGGGGTGCTGAATAGAGCGACTTACACTAGGATCAGCAATGACTAACTTCAAACATTCTAACAGAGACAGTTAATGAATCTTACTAAACTTTATAACCCTGGTAACTTTGCCAGATGTGGCAGGGGCACCTCAACAGCTTGTACTAATTACTGAGGGACAGGAACAGTTCCTTTCTTAAACAACCAATAAGAAGATAAGCCACACCATGGAAGTGTGGGTGCTGTTGCATTCCACATTAAGAAGAAAAGGCCAATGGCTAACCACTCAATGATGTGATCACCTGTAACTGTGAGTCAAGGTCTTAGGCCATTTTCACACTCTGCTGGATAGCTTTTCATACCTACTCAAAAAGCTCTCTTGCATAGTATGAACAATGACAGCACAAAACTGGAACAAGTTGTTCAAACACATTGAACATTGTGCAGGAGCGGTTGCCCAAGAGGGTTTGGTGAACTAAATCCCAGTCCTCACTCCTGGTAATTTGCTTCCGTCTCAGTGGGTTCCAGTCGTTTTTCATACTTATTCACTTGTGCTATGCTCAGAACACTTGTTCACACTGCACCAAAGTGTAGCATAGAACCTATCCAATTTGTAATGCTCCATTTTTGAGATCAGTGCAGCTTTGTTACAGAAATCATGACGAAATCACGATTCTTATGTGTGAAAAGAAACCCTGTATGGTATGATTTTTGTGCAAACACAAAAGCTACATGTATCCGGTATAGTGAGAACATATAGCCTTAATCAGAGCCGCCATGAATTAGCAGTTTGGTTGGAAGTATGGTCAGGGCTAATCTAGACTATACTGCTCAGTAGACTGGCGCTTATCCAACTGAGCTCACTTGGCCATGGTTATGAAAGTGTAGTATTACCTCTTGCTGCTGCTGTTGGTCTGTTATAAAAGACTGATTTGAGTTTTCAATTTCTTTATCCAGCCTAGAGTATCTGTCTGTAGGTTTGTCGTTTCTTCTTCCGAGAAGTGCCTTGAAATACAATAATGATAGTATTAATATTTGCATGAGGCTACCTACAGTGTAATCTTGGGTTGAAATGATTCGGAAAAACCTAACGTGTCATGCAGGCCCTAATATCCAAATGCAAATTCTCCAGACTAATCTTCATACATTTTCTTAGAGGCTATTCACATGATACCATAATGACTTTAATTCTGGAACAAGTTCATTCCTGCTTTCAATCAGAATTAAATTCTAATCCTGGTGTGAAATTTTACCCCAGTATCAATAATGTAAGCTGAAAAAAAGCTTTGCTCCAGATTGGAAATAGCAAATTGAGTAGTTCGGGGCAAGTGGCCCATGTGTATGTGATCTGGCCCGAAAACCGTGCAAGCCAGAATGCCTTAAGCTGAATTGGTCTACCATAAAATTCCGAAAATAAGCCTTTCCATATATAAGCCCCTCCATATATAAGCCCCCAAGACCAGTAACGCAAAGAACCCTCCGTTAAATCGCCCCTTCAAATATAAGCCCCCCGGGGGCCTGTACTTGGAAAATTGCCCTCATATACAAAGAAAAACAAAGCAAAAACGGTATATTTACTTCCAACTATAAGGCTAGCCCTATTGATTTGAAAGGCAAATTTTCCTCCATAGCTCCGTAGATAAGCCCCTCCAAATATAATCCCCTCAGAAAGGACCTTTGAAAAATATAAGCCCCGGGGCTTATTTTTAGAATTTTATGGTATTTCATTGTGAACTTCATTCCGGAACGAAACTCATGAAAGTCATTCTAGTACTATATAAACAGCCTCCTTGAAAATTACTTGGGATAATTACATGATAAGAGATAAACACATTATCACTAACCACTTCTCCTGGCCTTTCCATTAATAATGTACTGATCGAATATTGTTTGGAACATCTTAGTAGACCACAGCAAATTTCGGATCATTATACGTTTCTGGGAAACTGCCCACCTATCCCTCCCCTAAGCTAACATTAATACTTAATTCTCACTTAGGGCAAAATGTTGGCTTAGGGGAGGGGTAGGTGGGCAGTTTCCCAGAAACGTAAAATGATCCATCCAAGCTAGAGTTTACCACAGAAGTATATAAAAAGGTTCAATACTTTTTTAACCTTATGAAAACTAATAAAAGTAGCTTACATCTCTTGATGAATTCTCAACTTTTGCTTTAGCTGAAGGGCTGTTCATGTGCTCTTTAATGTTATTCACACTGTCCCTTGTCTGTTTTATAAATAGCTTTCTCTGATTTACTTCTGAGATGTCAATGTTAAATTTTCTTGGGTTTGCTTCAACAATCCCTACTGTTTCATCCAGATCTTCCAAATCCCATTCAATACTCCTCAGATTGTTACGTAGTTCATTTGTTGTCCAATTATATTCATCTTTGCCTACAGTTCTTGGATTATCTAATAAATCTTGCCATCTCCTGTACAGTGTCTGAACATTATTAACTGCTTTTTGCACCTCCCTGTAAAATAAATAAAGTAATACTTGATGTAAATACACACCCCAGGTCATTGTACAAAAAGAAAGGCCATCATAAGTAACAAGAGCGCTTTTATGTTTACTGTTAAGTATTGTGGACCGTTAAATTTTGTTAACGCTAGGTGTTACAAAGCCCACAATATTTATGTTAATTTTGCTGTAAGGTAAAAAACAGTCAACTGTTACCTTGCAAATTCAAGAAACTACATGTAAATAAAACCAAGTAGAATAACAACTAAATGTAAATGTGCAGATATTGACAGAAAAATCACTAAGGAACAGGCAAATAGGGAGCTTAAGGTGGCCCGTTCCTATTTATATGCGTGTTGGTTATGTTTTTGATTCGTGTTTTTCAGAATGAAAAATTCAACCAATTTCTACAATTTTTTGCATCCTTAATAAATAATGATGGAACTTTAAAAAAATGTTCTTTATTTTCTTATAGATATAAAAACTTTTGAGATATCGGCATATAATTAAAACCTCATTTTTATGAAAAATGAAAAAAACTTCAAAATCCCACGACAGATTTTTCCCTAACTTCAGCAAATAAGCCTCAGAGCTTTCTAGTTTTATGTCTGCAAGTTTGAAGGCAATCGTGACCATAGAAATCACTCCACAAAATGTTGGTCAAATTTAATGCTAAAATGATAGGCCAACACATTTGAGAACGTAAATGCACAAATAGCAGAAGAGAGATGACAAACTACCTCTTAACTGAAACGTTGTTCTTACCCAAAGCATTGTTGGAAGAAAATGAGTTATTGCACAACTACCGCAAACACAGTTAGTGCTTTAATACAACCAACTTTCTGCTACATGCGCATTGAAATTAAATATATTCTATTTATCCAACTTACTCTGCACTTGTCTGTTCATTTTTGACAAAAATATTAAGAAAACAAAACACAGCATCTGCAGAAACCGCTTGGCAGTTTTTAGCTTCAAAGGTTCTCGTTCTGAGGCAAAATAAGCCCGCTAGTTCGAGAACACCTCGCTATCCAATTTTCAACTGCAATGAAAACCCTCTCGCACGATAATATATTCAAGATCTCTTACTTTTCTATCACATGCTCACGAGCAGTATGCCACTTGGGGATAATAGTTATAATTTACATATGGAAATCTATTTACTATCAAATTTATGGTATAATTTGCCTTTGTTTCGTTAGGGGCCTTATAAGCCTTCGATGATTACATCAGTCATCAACAAAACCTTTTTCTGCTCCTATAAGTCCTATAAAAATGTTTATAAAACATAATTAGACATTAAGTTTGCAAACCGTGTTTAGTCTACTGTTTCATTTTCAGTTTAGTGATTTTTCTTTGTTTTTCTTTGTTTTTTTTATATGTTCTTCGTAGACAAATTATTTAAAAGTCAAAGTATAGAGGCGTCCCAAGTGGCTTACTGCTCGTGAGCATGTGATAGACAAGTGTTGTAAGTCCTACTTTAAGGTAGGAAGTATTTGTTAATAATAGCAACAATGGTAATGTAAGGACAGACATCTAAAAATATTCCTAGAAACTGACAGCTCATTTACATATACATGTACCAACAACATTGTAAAAATACTGAGAGGTATTTAAAAAATACCCAATGGAAGCTTTTATTATAATCGGTCTGTAAGAAACCTGTGGTTAATATCACAAGAAATATAAGCTAGGAAAGGTAAAATTGCAAACTTCTACTCCACCGACATCTGATTTATTGCCAAACTTAACTTCCGAACACACCGAACATCTGAAATCAATCACAGGAATTTACACGTACTCAGAACACAGCAGCTGTTCGAAAAAAAACAGCGATCGATGAGCATAAAACAGAAACCAGTGGTGTGCAAAGATTACACAGTCTTCAGACCATAACTGCGACAGTTTACCCAATCAATCTCCTTCATTTTTACCCCCGTTCATCAGACAAACGTCGTTTACGGAAACACACATCCTGAAAATCCAAATTTATAGATGGCTAGTTCACTTACTCTTTGACTACGAAAAACGGGTCCTCCAGCGACATATCTGTAAAAGAAACACTTTCAGATCACCACAGAGGTCTCGCAAACAATTATAGAAGAGAAAATCTGTGATAAAGCCGGCAAATACTGCCTATGAATATTGTCAAATATCAGAAAAGTACGCCGAACGACACTGAAAGCTTGAGCTGAAAATCCCCGCCATGATCACGTGATGAGCCCTTTTGATTTCCGCCAACTCATAGCATTGTGCTGACGTACTTCCGTTTAGTTGCCATATCATGATGGGTCCCCATTTTCTTAAAGTTCGCGCGTAGTCATGTGATTAGACCGTACATGTTCAAACTAGTTCAAACCAGAGAGCACGGATGTAATCTATTTTTCTGTTTATAGCTATTTCGAGAAAGGTTGTCGGCAGGGCGGATAAAGGTTGGGCGGTGAAACGAGCGCTCCGCTCTTCATTTAATGTGTGATGCGGAGTAGGACTGGCACGAGCGCTCTTTCCGGGCTTCCGGTGCGCTTGAAGGCCGGCGAAATTTTCCTTTTTGCAAACCGGAAATCTTATTTTTGTTCTGTAATTTTAGGCTACAGTGTTAAAAAAATAAATTCGTTTCATAACAATATCAATAAACAGTTTCATATGTTTGTGTCTGTTAGTCTATAAGCCAAACTTGTTGGTCGTATAATACCCAAATTTGAGTTTAATTTTAAAGTGTTGAATACCTCCTCCTTCCACTAAATATCACCTTATCGTCTTTCGCCATTTCGTTTGCAAAAGCTTAACACTTCTTAACCTCAATTTTTACATATGATAAAGGGGGATAAATTTTATATAACATAACAAAAAATTAGATTGATATATATTGATATAGTGGCGTTGTACTTCTTCAAACTTTGCTTCTCGGATGCAACGCGCCATGGCGATTCGCGCAATACGTTGCAAATCCGGCAACCGCATGTAAACAAAATTTATTGAGGGTAGTTGTAAGGTTTTTTCTCCGTTTTTCTCTCTAAAACAAAACAAGGTAAACAGTAAAAACTGAGGGGAAACTAATTTTGAAGTTTCGAAGAAACAGAAAGACGTATGAGATGTTTTTTCAAAATTAAAAAGAAGGAGGATGGTGATTGAAATTAGCATAATTTCACCTTGCACGAGCTGCACGCATTTATAAAATACACATCATCTAGTTATGAAACACGATCTGCTGTCTTTTAGTTTTGCCATGGATGACATGGATGAGATTTTCCTTCGTGTTTTAGACAATACTTAGTTGTTTTTGTTTTGGAATAACATCGACATTGGCGAGTAGCAGAACGAAAATATAATTCAGTGGTAGAGTCATGGAAGTAATAAAAGAAACCCTTTGAAAGAGATGTTTGTCTACTCCAACTAAACCTCCCCCAAAAAATAGCACCATTTGCCTCTCAGAGACAGCGTACCAGCACAAAGGAACGTGGAAGAAGTGCAAGAAAACAAGTCAAGCCGCCATAATTCAGTGACAGCGACAGTGTCTAATATACAAACCACATCGCAAGCCCTGACCCAAGTCGAAAACAAGCGACATCTCTAAGCAGAGTTCCAGTCCACTGCATAACACCTTTTTGCTCGGACGCGCTCGTTTCACCGCCCAACCTTTATCCGCCCTGGTTGTCGGAGAAAGTGCACGCGACAATCCTGAAAGGCATTGTGGGTGGTTTTGAGTTCTCTTTTTTTCAAAGAAATTTGAAAGAATTTGCACGAAAGGCCATGGAAATGTGTCTGCGAGTCCTACAGAAAAGTAGGTCTGACAGCTACAGTCGTCAGGAACAGTGTATTGATCATATCCCATATTATCTTTCGGGATTGTCACGTGCACATTTTTTGCGACAACCTTTCTCGAAATAGCTGTATGTTTTGATGGTCCAAGGGATGCCAAAGTCTCTGACCAGTCATTGCTGTTGTAAGTTCTGTGCGATGTGATTTTTCACTCGGGACCCCAGCTACTAGCTCTTGGCGTTCTCCACATCAGCCTTTGGTTGCCTACCATTGACCTTTCAATAAATTACAGTACAGTGGAACGTCTATTCAGGGGACACCGTCGGGACCGAGGCAACTGTCCCTTGAATCGAGGTGTCCGCTGAAGAGAGAAGACAACATAAAAAAATCATCATCAGCTTTTCACCGCGACATTATATGTTCATTAATTCACACAAAGGTATTACTTCGATCTTTAATTGATTGTGAGATACACTTAAAGATATCAACCCTCTTTGCGGTCAGCCACTCTTTGAGTGCTAAGGTGTCCCCTAAATAGAGGTTAAACGTGGGTTTCGGGATCCAGAAAAAGTGTCCCTTTCGGGTGTCCCTTCAGAGTTAAAACATACAAAGATTATGTGGGTGAATTTCCAGGACCAAATATGGTGTCCCCTGAATGACCTGAATAAAGGTGTCCCAAAGGAGAGGTTTTACTGGATAGTAAAGGATTAAATTAACTGCAAAAACCGTGGACGAAGATCCTGCTAGATGTAAACGTTGGATCTCTGGAAAAGAGATCAAATCAGCCAAAATATAAAAACCAAGAACGAGAAGTCCAAAGACTACTGCAAAGCTGATTTGAAACAACGTGTATTGTTTTTTATAACAATATTTCGGCTGGCCATACCAGCCTTCTTCAGGTTTACATCTGTAAAGCTAAAGAAGGCTGGTATGGCTAGCCGAAATATTGTTATAAAAAACAATACACGTTGTTTTTAATCAGCTTTGCAGTAGTCTTTGGACTTCTCGTTCTTGGTTTCTACTGGATGTATGTATCAGGGTCCCAGGGGGGGATACTTTAGGAATTTCTGGGTGGGGACTGTGTACCGCTGAGACCCTGGAACCCTTAACCTATACCAGAACTAGTTCAGCTGAATTTTGCTACCCTATACTAGAGTAAACTCCCTAAATCCCCCTATCCTAGAGAAGCTGTTTTCCAGAAACTACTGAGGTCCCTAGCACAGTCTACCCAAAACAAAACCTTATACCACATTCCCTAGTCTAGATAAAATCTTCAACCAACTTATCAGTTTCTTTAAAAATGATACCCTATTCTAGACACAAACGCTCTGATTTATATACCCTATCTTAGAGTAAACTGCTTGAAAACCATACCCTTCAGAGCGGCACATACCTATATAGCCCATATTTGGCAGTACCCCCCCGCCCCCAGAGCCCCGGGATCAGGGGCATGTATAGCCTGAATTTCATCCGATTACTTCGAGTCGCAATTACTCCCTCAGAGGAGAAAACGACTCGAAGTAATCGGATGAAATTCACGCTAAGGCATGGATGTATTTCACTCGCCTCTCACTTTAGTTCACTTTCGTTTCTGGTGTAAACCCCACTTCCGAAAGTGAAAACTTGGAGAAATAAAAGCAAGGCTTACTGTACAGCTATAAGAATGTTTATATTTCTCCTCTCTTGCAAAAAAAATTTTTTACAGTTTGAAAAGCCATGGTTAAAGGGGCCGCGCTCACACACTCAATCATTGCCGATTGCAAGCACATTTCCATACTCTTACACCAACCTCCATTTCTCATGTGTGACTGACCACTGGACCGCAGAATCACCGACTCACTGCAGCGTCATCAGCTTTCCACAGAGCTCGGATCGCCCCTCGAATCTTGTGTGATTTTCACGGGATCTCATTACGGTAATAGCAGTTTCCGGAAAGTTTGTGTCATCAAAATTATTTCAAGTTTGCCCTGCAGTTGTGAAGGTAAATTAGTCTATTTTATTATATAAGATACGTGCTTCTTAGGAATACCGTGCCTCTGATGGGTAGACAAAGGCTTCATACATCACATCTTTTTAGTGAATTCGCTAGGTAGGCTTACAATTGAGTAATTTCGTGTCATTTTTATCTTCTGTTGCGCAAAAGCTCCCTTGCATCAACTTCTGCACGACCACTGTTTGCTGTTCCAAAACGGCGTCGAAGCCCAAAATCTCAAAATAATTTTTTAGGTAAGAAGTAATTTTATTTAATTAAGGAGTTTTAAGGTGAAGCTTAGATCTTTAGGCCATCCCAATTTAATGCTTCGTTTCCCATCGCCCGACCGACCCATTTTTGAAAAGTAAAAAAAAAAAATTCAGAATCGCTTGTAAAGAAGCAAGTACTTTAATTTACAAGCAGACGATCTTGTCTTATTAACACCAATTGTCTTAAATTATCATCGATACTTCGTTTTTGTAACCTTTTTAGACATTTGATAGTCCTGTTAATATACATCTTTTACCATCTGATTATATCTTATATCTGATTATATCTGTGTTCATTCTTTTTTTTTTTTTTTTTTTCCCGCCTGCCCGACCGCCCCACCTTCACGAGAGGGAGGGGGAGGGGAAACAAAACATTTTATTGGGTTGGCCTTAGATGAAAGGCAAGGGAGAATTCCTGGCCTTTTATAATAGTTCAAATTTTCAAATTATAAATAAAAAGCTAACAAATCCATAGAAAAAAAGAAAAAAATATAAAAAAAAAACAAAAAAACTAATTTTATTAACTCAAATTTACTTAAATATATCTCTATATTTCGTTTTTTTATCCTTTTTAAACATTTTATTTTCTTTTTAATATACATCTTTTTCCTTTTTATTTTTTTTTATTTTTGATTATATCTGTTTTCATTTTTTTTTTTTTTTTTTTTGCCCGACTGACCGACCGACCCACCTTCACGAGAGGGAGGGCGATGGGAAACAAAACATTTTATTGGGATGGCCTTAGATGAAAGGCAAGAGAGAATTCCTGGCCTTTTATAATATGTCAAATCTTACAACTATTAATGAAAAGCTTTCATATTGACCCTGCACCTATTGTAAATGTGATTCACGTTCTTTGCCACTAGAATAATATTTACAGGGAAAATAGAAAACATGAGTGCGATGTTTCGTTGGAAAAATCTAAATGTGGGGCATTCCATTTAGATAGATTGCAGAACACCTGGCCCACTAAATCTCTAACTTGAAAAACTGCTCCTAGAGTCCCACAGTCGTCTGATTTGCATAATAATTTCTAACATAGACTGTGGAAGTGCAGGACTGCAACACTGTGGGAGTACTAGTATACCTTGTTCTATAAGCATGCCAGTTACTTTTCAGTGACTGCGGGAGTGCAGGACTACAGGATCACTTATTTTACTCACTTAGATTTAAGTATCTGGCATAATAGAACACTACTGTGGGACTGTGGGAGCAGATTTTGGAGCGAGAGATTT